TAGTGTCGCCGTCCTGTCTGCTTTAGAATGAGGTGGGTAAACTAATTAAAACGTGGAATATCAGAACAACATATAAAGAGATACTAGCACACTTCCTTCATGCCGTCTTTTCGATAATTTTGTATCCTTTTCCTATATCAAGAAGTTGCCAAGTTTATACTCAAGTGACCTGTCGACCCATACATAAAAGGCATTCTGAACACAAAGTTCCAACCAATACAGGATACGAAATAGAATGGTCCACCTCACAGAATTTTGTAGGTTTCTGGGACTTCACATCCAGGGGTAAGTTTGGGGAGTTAATTAAAATCAACAGACTAGCCATCATTCCGTATAGGAGGAACTGGTATCGGAAAAGGTGTGAGACTATTTGTGACAATTGATAGGCTTAAGGGGCTAGAGAAAGAATGGGAGTAGGCAGAATTGCTGAGCAAAATAAGTAGACTTAAATAGCCACCAATCTGATGATGCCTCACATTCATTAAATGATTTTAACATTGCATAAACACAATGCAAAACACGTACTATATAAGCCTGTACCGAATTTTCCGGATCAAACGTCGATTTATTTTGGCAGGGCAACAGATGTGACCATATCCACTTCCACTTCAAGCATCAATTTTATTCCTTATGCGCGTATGTAGGGTAGGCATAAAGAATATATGAAGAAATGCTAGTTACTAAGATTCCTTCTTATTCCGAAGAAAAGGTTGGTTGGAAAGAATTCGTGAATTGGTCTCAACGTAAGCTGATGGATTGCTTTGGAGTAAAGACTGTTGGATTTCGTCAAGAAGTCGTTGGTTCATTGCGCTGCACCCTGATGATCCCGTGCTCTGATTGTGTCTGTACCGTGACATACATGATTAGAGCGAAAAACCATACTTTACGAAAAAGCGCAACAAAACATCAAACTACTGGAATAGGTGGTGAGCTACAAACCTCTCCTTATACGAAATTTTAATATCTTTATGAAGCCTCCACTGATTTAGTTGACTACTTCATATTTAGCCCAGACAAATGTATATGGGAGGAGTTAATACATTAAATGAAGTAGACAAATAACTAAATACATACATACATGAATATAAATACAAATGTATAGATAAATCAGCCTAAGATCCTCCAATGTTGACGTATTTTTAGATGTGCGATTGCATTGTATATGGATAAATGTATGCAAATTCATATCAATCATTGCGAAGTCGTTCATTTCATATGAAAGTGCATGATGAAAACATTCGTTGGTTGAGTAAGCCCGAATAAAAGGGACAATTCGTGTAGCTCCGCGTTCAGTTTAACCTTAAAAGAAGGTTTATGTAGACACAGTACATTAGCAATCCTACCTAATTTCGGGTGAAGCTGGGCAGAGATTTCGTCCAGCATGTAATGAAAATCAATGAATACAAAAGTATTCGTGATTTGATTTCCGAATTATTTCTAGCTAACATTTAATTCAAAATGAAAAGCTTAATCACACAAAGCATGAAATATCTTACTGACCTGCTGCTACAATACATCTATGCTGAGCCCCCTGCTACTATTCAAGAAACGTTTTCAGAGCCAAAAACCATCATTTAGAGAAAGTAACACCAATATATTAAGTCAAGAAAGAGTACCTGACTGTATGTGAAGAAAAGTTGGGTTTCGAGAAATCTCTTGTTTCATAATTGTTGAGCTAACTTGCATTTCGAGTGAAAGTGTTGGGTGAAGAGATTCGCAGGTTCCACCAGAAGACGACGGCGGATTTCTCTTGACCAGCTGTCGATTGGCTTTACTGGAAGATTCATGC